GAAGAGTGATGGGCGGCAGCGGAATAGGACGTGGAATGGGCGGTGGTGGACCTGGAAGAGGAATGGGAAGCAGTGAAATGACAGGAATGCCAACGAGCGGCATGGGAGGCAGCGGAACCAGTGGATTAGGTGGCGGTGTTGGAATGGGAGGCGGCAGAACTGAAGGAAACATGGACATGGGAGGCGGCGGGTTTGGAACTGGTGGAATGGGCGGATCGGGAGGAATGGGCGGATCAGGAGGAATGGGCGGATCGGGAGGAATGGGCGGATCAGGAGGAATGGGAGAATTTGGTAACGGTGGAAGCAGCGGCGAATTCGGATCCAACACATTAGGATCCGGAATCGATAGTGGTCTAGGTACTTGACGTACTTGTTGTAAAAACTCGTATGATAAACATAAATAAGTCATATTTAAGTGAAATGACAAAGATGAAATTATGTCATTCATGGTTATCTGATAGATTATGCATCATGTCACCAATTAATTGCTATACTTTGCTTAGAGGATAGATGACACCATGTTCATAACCCTTTCACGAGAGATCATTAAACATGGGATTCCCCAATCCTTCTTCCATTCGTAGACCTTTGGTCTGTGACAGCACTTTTATTCTGATATCTGTCGTAAGAGCTTGTCTTGTGTCTGTCTGTGCCAACTTCTAGCGTATTCGGAATGGACAATAAAGTAACATGCGGCAGCGGTGCGTTTCATCCTCAAATGTATACCAAATCTTAAGCCACTGGAGGGATGCTCCCTCACCGGAGCAGTCTCACTTGGCGGACTGCTAATTTCCATCCGGAGATATAAAATATAGCTTGAATCTGTCAAGAACTTCATTCGCATTCACCACAGACGTATTCTGTGTTTCATGTATGCTTACTTATTCAAGTTATTTTCCATCAGGTTAATTTGCTTAGTACTTCGCTTGTTTTTCACTTTTGCTATTCATAATTTGCTACATCTATCCTTTTTTGCCAAATGGCTTTCTTACCTTCTCATATCGTATCTTTTTTCCACAATGACACACCAACGTCCGTTTTCTTGGGGGGTTCTTTTCAGATAGAGGTGTCTGCTTACTTATTTTCATCCTTGTATAACTGCCTAATTTTGTTGCTGACTTTATCGATGTGGACATCGTTTCTATTACGCATTGCATCGTCGTATAACTGCTAACGCGAAGGTGTATATATGAACCGCATGATATTTTTAATATTCGATATTTTCTTTGGCCAGTTTGAATTTCTGTGCCATACTGCCCTGTGATGCTCCTTTGGTCTTGCGTAAAAGTTCATGAAAGACTTGAGGTTTCAATTTATTGTGTGACCCCGTATTTAAGGGAGGGAAATTGAAAATGTTTGTTTGGGCAGTTATTACATTGCATTTGCTTAGGGTTTGGAGACAAGATCGCCTCAGAAGCAACGGATCTCGCAACAGGTACATGAATTTTCACTTTTCTCATACCGATGGCTTTAAAGACGAGCAGTTTTGAGGCTTCCGTAGTTTTTAGGCAAACAAATTGACTTACTTAGAACATTTTAGGAAATTTCGTTGCCAGAGCCAGGAATATGGCTGTCATGAATTCCAGTGGCCGCTTACGGACGCGACAAGGTATTCAAGCGTTTCTCACCAATACAATCATAAATAATGATCAAGGCCGGTGTTTCCAGCCGCGTTTTGACCTTGACATAGGTCGCAAACTAATCCGGAAGCAAAACAGCTCGGAAAACATTCCGTTATGTTAGTGTAGCCTTCGAGACTTCGAGATGTCAGAGACGATTGTCACGAATCTTCTGGAAAGACCTGGAAATCAATGCACAACCCTTAGAACAGTTTGACTCGTAGCACTAGCTAATAAGTCAACATTCGAGGTTCACTTAGAAATCCATGTTGTAATGGCATTGACGGAGAGCAGCAAACGTCCCTGATATTCTCGGATAACCCGTAAGGTGTCTTCCCTCACTACACGGCGGATGTCCAACAGAAGCTGCAGCAGTTGCAACAATTTCTCAGTATCGGATTGCAGTCTATCTTCTTCAAGACGAGATGAATGCGGAAAGAACACTGTCTCGAGAATTCTATATATGCGAATGGCAAGGAACTCGAAGAGGTAAACATTTCTGGTTTTCTGGTTAAGTAAGCCATCAAATAGGCCGAAATGAAACAGCTGATCGGAGAAGCCGGCTGAAGGATTAAGGCGGCACAGGCTAGCTTTAATCGACAGTGAGTTGCCCATGTGAGCAAAGGAAGAACTTCTCGATTCAGATTTCGCGCCGGTATGCTCTTCATTGCTAAATGTTGGTCATCTACTGAAGCTGAGGAGAGCAAACAAATCATGACTCTGTTGCATCCAAATAATATATTTGCCAACTTGAAGTACAGTACGTACCAGCAAGTGCATTTTTATTGTATTTATGCCTCAGAATCGTTGTATCGTATGCAGCGACATTCCTGGCTATTTTTACACCTGTCGTTATGTGATATTTCTTAAAGATCTACCCAGTTTAACCTGAACCTTTGGAAACTTGTTTCATAAAATTTATGTACGGAATAAACCTGTTGAAGAACTTTCCACCTGCATCAACAACCTGAATAATCTTTTTAAAATTAATATTCTTCACACTTTTGGACCTTGCTCAAGCATTTAGGGATAGACATAAAAAAATCTTTCAGCATAAACAGATACTTTGTTCATTTTTCCGACAATTCTTGCTTGCCTCCATCGAACTGTTGCCCCAGCTACTTCTGAGACCCTTTACTCTGTCTATAAAGTGAGTCTATATATTATGTGCCCCGATTCACTAATTTCTGGATCAGACTGTTAATCGTGATGACAAATAGCGTCATCTCAAACGAACGCACGGTTCCGATTCAATTCCATCACCAAGTTGTGGTATCTAATCATTTTCCTTCCAAATCTTCTTGAGAATCTTGTTTACGCTGATTGTATCCTTGCGGCTATTTTTTTGACTAAAATTGATATATCTTGGTTGTACGGACGATGCATTAGTGAGCAATTCCGACTTTCATTCAGTACTGATCTCCCTCATTTCCTCAGCACTTCCGTCAGCTGAAAAAAAATTGCATAATTCTGAATTATATCAAATAACAGTTTCAAATATCTCGCCAGCTGATTATGTGATCTCTTCGTAACGTCGTCATGCCTTTGAAATGCTGTCGACACTCACCGAGTAGATGGATAAATGCAGGGCACTGAATCGACTTTGATGCGCTTCCACAAGGTTTGCATTTGTCAGCGATTCATCTGGCGAATCGATGATACTTGAAAATTAAACATCGTTTTTTTATGCTGGAGATTGAGTCCATGATCTTCACGTTTCTTGTGAGATTGGTTTTTCGCACATATAATTCGGCGTTGACAGCACAATTGACATGTAAAGCAATTCCGTAAAAGGCATAAGAACATGGACAATATATAGTTGTATTGGCCATATCAATGGTTTTAGAGATAGGGAAACAGACAAATGGTAGTCTTTATTGTGTCGATCCCTTTAATGTCGGTAAATGGCGACTTTTTGACTTGAAGAAGTCTTGAACTAATAGTAAACAGCTACACCAGCCGTTGCGGGAACAAAGCGACCGGAAAGAAACGGTTTCAACTATCGAAGCTGATTCATCCCACATGGTACATGAAGGAGCCATTTACGACAATATCTGGTTGGCTAATTGGTGCATGATCAGGAAGAAACCGTTCGATGCTGCCGATTCATTGGCCACTTGTCAGTGATGAGCATTATAAACTTAGAGATATTGGTCCCGAGATATACCTTTGCGATGCGTGTGTCTGTGAACTTTTAGAATGAACCCTTTCGTTAGGCAACTGCAGTAGGGTGTAAAAGCTATAACTGTGGACGTTTCAGCCAACTACATGCTTCATCCTCAGGGCAAAAAATGATCAGTCGTTGCAAAAGGCAATCATTCTTTGCTTGGAGGATGGCTGCGGTGG